CCCCTTTCTTCCCCCCCCCCCCCCCCCCCCGGAATATTGCAGCACAAGCAGGAGAAAGTATTGGACAGAATAGCCAGCCCCCGGGACGAGATGAATGCATGCGTTCATGACTCGCCGCCGCGAAGTAATTGTGGCAACAACGAACAGTAGTGCCGATAAACCCACTTCGGCTATCGTCAGCAGCGGCACCCACGTGGCATGCGACTACCTAGAAGCAGACCGTCGTCGCGGGAAGTACCCCGATACCCCCTTTCTCTGTTTGGCACAGCACACGCAAGGACGATGGCCAGCGCCCGGTCCCGACTAGTAGGGTTGCTACTAGGTCAGTGGCCTACCGGTTGCGGCATGCGTTGCCATGAGTGACCCCCCCCCCCCCAATTCTGTATTTTTTACCTTTCCGCCCTCTAGGAAGACGCCAGGCTCCATCTTGGTTAGCTGCCCCGACGCGTAAGAGGGCTCCCCGTTCGATCGATCCGCCCGCACGTAGCGCAAGAAGTTCTCGGCCGCCTGGTGGTGGGGTTCGGCTCTTGGTTAAGAAGCATTGATGAGAACGCCGAAACGAGAGGCGTGGAGATCGAAATAGATACGATAGACCGGTGGAAACGCTGTCGGGGCGAAGGCGTCTTGGTTACCATCCCATCCGATAAACGGTGGTCCCAGTCTGTCTGTCTGTCTGTGTCTGCCTGTCTCTCTGTCTCTCTTTCTCTCCCTCTCTTTGTCTTTCTGCCTCTCTCTTGCTCCTTCTGTGTCCCTGTCTGTCTGTCTGTCTGTCGGTCTTTTCCACCCCTCTGTCTGTCTGTCTGTCTGTCTGCCTGTGTCTCTCCTCCAGGCATGGTGGTAAGCCCGTGGCAGCAGCAGAGGAGCCTTGCTCTCCCTCGGAGCCCCCTCGCCCATCTGCGGTGCCCCGCCCTCGTTTCTGTTCTCAACAACTAAGATATGATGCGCTGCCGGACAGCGCGGTTCATGTTTGGGTTGAGTGCACACCCGAGAAAAAACAGCCTCAGAAGTAGTTGTTGTCACCGGTGCCAGCTGCGGTACGACTTGCCGACGCTGATGAACCCTGATTCGTTTCGCGCTCCCTCCTACAAGAGATCCGTCTTGTTGGAAAGGAAACTAACCGGCGGCACGACCGATTCGTACGCGTGGGTTGGATACTGATACCGACGCTTGACCTACCTTTGGAGACTCCTTCCCGTACACTCCGAACACCAGCCTCCCCTTGAAGGCGTTCTTGCTGCTGTAGCCGTTTGCTTCGTTAAGGGGCTCCATAATTCGAACCTGCGAGGGACGGGAGGACGAAAATTAGGGCCGGCGACTACTGTGTTAAATTTCGGAGATGCGCTTGAGCCGTGCCTCCGGCACTACCCGTGCGCTACCGTAGATATATCCCCCCCCCCCCTGTACCACCCCCCGCGGTGTTTGCCACCGGGGTTGGGTTTTCGTCGCATGGCAACGACGTTGTAAAACAAGCCGCCCCCCTCGGTGTTTGCCATCGGGGTTGGGTTTTCGTCGCTTGGCAACGACGGTTGGGTTTTTCGTCGCATGGCAACGACGTTGTAAAACAAGCCCCCCCCCCTCGGTGTTACCCCAAAACTCTCCGGCGTGAGATCCAAAATGGATCGGACGATGGAGGCGGGGGGGGTGCTCGTTGCTTGAAATGGACCAATATAACACAGAGCCATCCAAGCAAAGGTTATTACTCACCTGAACTACCTGACCAACCACGCAAAAACTGCGGAGCTAGATGTGCGGCACGCACAATGAATTGTTTTCGATTGGAGAGAGGCGAGTACAAAGCAGTAAGGAATTGTTGGCCAAACTTTCGGCAGATAGGTCTACTCGGGAGCGTAAGTGGGGTAGCAACCCATGGTGGAGCATACATGAGAAGCTGGACGTTGTTGTACGATCCATCCCGGCGTGTGAGTAGGATCTTAGGCTATGCAAGTCGTCCCTGAACTTATTGTGGTGAAAATGACCTCCCAGGAGGAAAGTAGCCTGTACCGCGGGACTTCGGAGATGACAAATTGGGTGGTCGGGGGACGTCTGGGTGTTTACTAAGCAGAACGCCCGGCACAAGACTGGGGTACTTGTGCCAGGAGGTGTGAACTTGGATCTAGACTACGAGCCCATGTTGGAGGCGCTATTTAGCGTCGGTGAGCCGGCAAAAGAACTGAAAGGAACCACAACCCCCACCGGACACTCGGATTGGGAAGGCCGAGTATTCCGTAGACCTTCCTGAAAAAACACGAAAAACAAGTGGCCGAGGTCCAGTTGCTGTAGAGATCATGAGGATGGTGAAGAAGCCGGGAGGATGGAAGCAGAAACTGTGGCAGGGAGACAGGTTGGAGCTGCTGCTGTTTGGAATTCCAAGGGACATGACGAGGATAGAGTTCAAGAACTGGTGTGACACGGAGGGACTGCATTGCCTAGCAAGGGGAGAAGTAGGCAGAGAGCATGAACACTTCCGGGTGAAATTGACCAAGGGAGACAGCCAAGAGTGCTTGGGGGTTGACATCGAGAAGCTGTCGAACTACGTAAGGAAGGTTGGATGGAGGGTTTGCGTCGCGAACATGATAGGAACAGAGAAGGTAAGGCGACAGGAGGCGAGGGCGATAGAGGCGAAGAAGAGACCTGGCGGGGGAGACGAGCAGGCAAATCAGAAGAACGCCGAGAAGAAGCGGAAGGCGAAGGATAGAGTGCGCAAAATCTCCAATAGGGAAAAGCACAAGCTGAGAGTGGGGTCGTGGAACGTGTGCGGGTTCGCAAGGAGTGAGCGCAAGCGGTTGGAAATAGTGGACCAAGTAGAACAAAGCGATCTGGATGTAGTGGGGATCCAAGAGACGTGGGAACTGAAGGATGGGGACGTGGTAAGCAAAATAGGGAAGTACCGGTGGGTAGGGAAGGCAAGAAAGGGCTTAGACCCGAAGAAAAGGGGGGAGGGGGGAGTCGGATTCCTGGTCAAGGAACACTTGTATGACGTGGTGGAAGTAGTGGTGAAAACGGAGTTCGAGGAAAGCCTATGGCTTAAGATACCTGGGGAGCGGGGTGAGAAAGATTTGTTTCTAGGGAACGTATACGTCCCACCGTCGTCGAAGAAAGTCGCAAGCAAGGCGCAGGAGAACTTCGGACAAATTGGGGAAGATGTCCAGAGGTTCAGTAGGAAGGGAGAAGTTGTCATGGTGGGCGATTTCAACTCCAGAGTAGGGAAAGCTTGCAGAAGAGGACAGGCGATCGGGCAGCACGGAGAAGACAAAGTGAATGACAACGGAGTGAGGATGCTTGAATTCTTGGGAAGCAACGAGCTGATGGTGTTGAACGGTAGGAGGGAAAGCGATAAGCCAGAGTTCACCAGGCAGAGGGCAGTTTGCAATGAATACTCGATCCTCGACTACATCCTGGTAGATAGGGGGAGCACACAGGTCCCGGAGCTGCACGTAAGTGCGATAGATATAGGTTCGACCGACCATTTCCTCATATGGGCAAACATCGACCGATCTAGAAAGACGGAGAGTAAGAAAAAGAGGAAAGTGTTCCGGTGGAAAGTAGAGCGTTTGGGAGACGAGGGGACACGCGATGAATTCCAGAAGGGATTGGCTGGTAGTGTAGAACCCTTCAGGAAACTGCTGAGAAGCGTCGAAGACGGAAAGGTAGACGTACAAGCAGCAGGGGACAGGGTGATTGAAGGATGGGAGTCCATAGTGAACACAACGGCAGAGAGAGTAGTGGGAAAGAAGGTGGTACGATGTGGGGTATCGGTTAAGTGGTGGGATGACGAGCTGAAAGAAGAAATAGGGGAACGTAGAGAAGTCTTCAAGCAGTACCTGGGTGAGGGGTCTGAAGAGAGTTGGGAAAAGTACAGGGCCAAGAGGA